TTTAAAAAAATTTTTTTTTTTTAAAAAAAAAAAAAAAAAAAAAAAAAGAGATATCAGTAGTTTCGCATTAGTGGTGTTGAGTAAGCTGTTATATTAGGCTGTCAAACCCCTCAGCCCGACCCGTCAACTCGAGTAAGGCCACAACCCGAAGATTTAGACCCAGCTCGAGTGGTTTGACATTGGTCTCTATGCAGGTTGAATCAAACCTAACATCGAGTCAAAGAGACGGGCCATTAGTCGGGTCATCATTTAACTGGATCCATTTTTACATCTCTAATGTTGAGCACCATGGTTTAACCATAGAGAATGAGTTCTACTTGCAGAACTCATTTGAGATCCACCCTGTACTAATTTGCGCGTCAAACACTATTGGTTGGGTCATTTATACTGTTAAGTCTTAAGATCGAAAGGTTTTCAAGTTCTCGTGAGATTTTTTTTTTTTTTTTTTACTTGTTCAATCTTTTAGCTATTTCTAGCATTATGCATCGCCAGATTTTTTATAGGTCCATTGGTACTTAACTTCCCACGTGGAAAAAAATTACGCATCCACGAAAACTTGGTGAAATAAAAAGAGACGGAAGAAAATAAAAAGAACATTCCGAGAACTTTTTGCCCTCAGCTTTTTCAATCACAGTAAACCACTCACTAAAGCCAAAACCGGTATTTCCGTTATTATAAGGAATTTTAAGGTGAAACATTTATCAATAAAATTTGTCTATTTTCTTATTTTTGGCTCTGAATTTTCGTGGGTCGCAAATAATATTGAAAGTCTAATTTGTCTAACTTCCAACCCTTACCGGTGCAGCGAAGCTCCTAAAAGTTACAAAGTGACGGTTTCTCTCTGATGGCGCTATTGATACCCAGAGGCGGTGGGTGCGTACGATTAGGCGTGTCTCGGCCGGCGCATGTTAGAAAGAGGCTTATTGCGTTTGCTACCATGACCCCTCCCAGAACCAGTCCCCGTGGCGATGTCGTGGACTGGGTTGAAGCAACTTCGGGCTTCTTCCAGAACGATACCAGGCCCATCATGTTATTTGACGGTAAAACTCTCTCACATTTCATTTTCTTTTAGCAGCGAAATTGAATTACAATTGCTAATTTTAGCCTAGACAATAAGTATGTGATTAATTGGTTTTACAGGTGTTTGCAACTTATGTAACGGAGGTGTAAAGTTTGTACGTGATAACGATCGTAACAGGTCAAATTTAATCTTCTTTTTTTTTTGTTTTCTTATCAGAACTTTTTTTTTTTTTTTTGGTTTTCTTATAAGAACTCGTAAAGTATGCTGAACCTTATTTATGCGTACAAAGCTCATTCAAAAAGGGGGCAATACTGGGCAATACCAATATTGATTTCACATTAATTTTTTAGGGTCAATTTAGAAAGATTTTTAATTTTTTTAATTAAGACATTCAGTAATTTCTGTCTCTATTTCTTAGGGGAATGTTTTGCTATTTGTTATATGTTATATAGTATTTATTAGATTAAGATAAATGTATAGAACTCTTCATATATATAGGTGACGTACGAAATTATTCAATAAATCAGGTGTATCATGTGATTATGTTTACGTGATACACTTTTCTAATAAAATGTTATGTTGGTATTTGGGTGATTATCCATGTCAATTTTACATTATTAGGTTTCTTCATTTGTTGTGATGGAACACGCTCAAAACTAAGACATTGTAAACAAACAACTTTACCACTCGACTAAATGGCCGGTGGCCATTAGTATGGTTCTCGAGTGTTGACCAAGTTTGCTTTGAAAATTCCAACTAAAGAGATGTGTTTCTACAATGTTAACAGAAGCATAAGGTTTGAGGCTCTCCAGAGTGAAGCTGGCAAGAAACTGCTAAGGAGGTCAGGAAGAGCACCCGATGATATTTCAAGTGTTGTTCTTGTTGAAAAAGATGGGTAAAAACTAACATGATTATGTAAATAATTTGATTATTGTTCTAGAAATGTTTACTTTGGACGAATGAATGATCATTTACGTTCTTGGCTTCTCATAGTCTCATAGACATGATTATGTTTTTAACTGAAAAGAGACGGTTGTGACTTGGGATATTATATTACAAAGGGCACTAGAAAATGATTTCTACGAATCTAATTAACAGTCTGTTATGGTGGATTTTCAGATCACATATAAAGTCAGAAGCTGTTTTGAAGATAATGGAATACATAGACTTGCCCTTTCCCCAGCTAGCATTCTTTCTGCAGTTTGTACCGCTGTAAGTCATTTATCCTCTTCTTACTTTCTTGTCTTCTTTGTTGCTTCTTTGATGCGAAAGCGGAAGAAAATAGTGAAATGTGATGCAGTATTATGCTATTTCTTCTTTGGATGCTTGCAGGTTCGTCAGAGATTTTGTATATGACAATGTCGCAAACAACCGTTACACGTTTTTTGGTCGTTCAGACTCATGCGAGATATAGTCTAGTTTAGTTCATCACTGCTGCAAATGTATTACTAATGATTGAAAATTCAGAGATAAAGAGACTTGATGTTTAAGCTAATAGTGTAAGTAGTTAAACAAAAAAAAAAAAAAAAGGATCTTATGTACTATTCAATAGCAATATTTGTTCGTATGGTATAACAGCCCTTGTATTCCTTTATCTTACATGGAAGTGAAAGTAACAATAAGTACTTATTCAATTTAGTCAGAACATGGATTTATGCAAGTTACCGAAGTTTATACAGAAAAATAAACGAATGAACAAGAAAAATATGAACAGAAACTCATGATATGATCTAATGTACAGCTTTTGCCGGTAGAAAAAAGTAATCAGGAATGTGCAGTACTTGAATATGTTTCAGTAGGAATACTATTTCACATGGCCCTTCAGATTAGATCGGAAACTAAGCAGTCAATTATTTTCCTAATGGATGGACAACATGAAATTACTATATAGCAAGTCAAAACCTACTATGTTGTGCATCAGTTTCCGGCTTTCCGGTTTTTGCCTCTGTTTTTCGCTCGTCTTCATTGACAGGAAGCACATAGTTTGAAGGACAAAATAGTCTTCTGTTACGTATAATCTACAAAGAAATGCTCCTCTTGATTGCCTGAACGGTACCGAATAGCTTCACCAAACAGAATGCATAGCTGCAAGTTTTGGAGTAACAGAGAAAAAGGTAAGCTCGCTAGCATTCAAATAGTTTGTGAGTGTTGATAATAAAGAACAAGACATAATAGTTTACCCAAGAATTAAGGCTAGCAATGCGGTGAACCACAATACGTATTGATAGCATTTGTGTTTAGGTTTGCGTATGACATCGTACCCCGCAGGAATGTACTTGCTGCTAACGTACCCAAACTGAGGGCGGATTAGAAGAATGAAGCCGAGGAGAAACCCTGCGATGAATCCTCCTATGTGAGCTGAATTGTCCACATGAGGCAGAAATCCAAAGGCCAAATTCAGGACAATAATGAGCACCAGAGTCAGCAGGGCTGCGCACTGAATAGAACATTCGGAACTTAAAATGCTGTTCTCATAGATCAAATCCTTCTATGAGTAGTTACGTGAGGAAAAGGAAAGAAGAAAAGTCACCTTATTTGCATAGATTGTCCAATTTGTGAGAAGCTCAGAGAGCATTGCTCCCAGCAGTCCGAAAAGCGCACCAGATGCGCCAACTGAGATCGTTGGTCTGTCAGAAGGACTGAGACTAAGACTAGACAATAAACTTCCACCAAAACCAGCAAGAACGTAGAGGATTCCTATTCTTACTGCCAAATCCGAGTAGTTAAAAATTAGTTAAAATCTGCAAGTTTTATGTACGGAAAACAAGTTGACATGTCCACAATTGGTTCGAAGTTCTTACGAAAACCGAACTCCTGCTCTAGCCGGATTCCAATGAAGAGAAGGCTTAGCATATTGGCAAGTAAATGGATGACACCAGCATGGAGCCACATGCAAGACAGGAGGCGCCATCCTTGGCCATTTTCCACCACTAGTTTCCGGTCGAGGGCTCCGAGTCGTTTCAGCCTGCAAATGTTGGGATCTATATTACTTGTCTGCAGGTTATGATTATTTCATTCATCAGATGCATCATGATCATATCCTTTCGAATGTAGCTTAAAGTTGGCCTTGTTATCTCAAATTGCTTTAGTTTAAATTTCTACGCACAACTATAGGCATGAAAACACGTATATACAAGCATAGACATCGTAAAAAAGCAAAGTATTGAAAGCCATTCGCTTATCCACAATGTTGCTTGATAATGTTTATGTTTATCAATACATGGTAAATTTTGTCTGTCATTTTCATAAATATGAGAAATCGTAAACATTGCTAAACATAAATGAAGGAAAAAGAAAAAAAGATGATGGGTTCATTTAAAAAGACAGAGAGATCTGAGACGTTAGATGAAAAGTCGTGTTACGTACGTGGTGGTGGAAGGGCCAAGGAGGGGGTTTTCGCGGAAGGGTTGGAAAGAGAATCTCTTCAAAGAAGGATAGAAAAGGCATTGGTCCGCTCCGGTGGTGGAGGGGCAATTGTTAAGGTACATGCTGTACACGAACATGGCGATGTTTGCCACAAATATGAGAGGCACCAGCCACGGAAACCATGGTTTCGCCGTCGGCGGACAATAATGCGGCGGCGGCGGCTGAGATGTCCGCCCCTTCTGACGGCCCTTCTCGATGTCCGGCGGAGATGTCGACCACTTCCCCATTGCGAAAACCAATGCCGGCTCAAGAGTAAGGCCATTAATAAAACTGCCTAAGGCCCCCCTTAATTAAGTAAAAGCCCCATATTATTAGGATCATTAACTAATTAACTAATTAACTTTACACCTCAAAATATGGAACAGATTAATTTGTTTTTTTATTTAAAAAAAAAACTCTTTCTTACGTCTCAGTTTAATTATGTAAGACTCATAAACAATAACTAATATTAAAGAGGCTTATCTCTCAATACAATTTTTAATATTTATTCTTGTTTTCTTCTTCCAATAATTGACTATATATCAGTTTCAAACATCTCTCGTGGAATATTATATTTCATTTCAAAAGTCTTGTAATGCTATTTCGAATAACTATTCGATTAAAAAACAAGAACAACATCACTTAATTTTGTTATGTATAGCTACTGAACACATCACTTAATTTTTTATTATATTTTTGTTTAAGTTGATCGTTAATCACAATCTCTCTACTTAATGTAAGTATCGTGTCTGTAAAATTTCATAATTTTTAACGTCGTTTTTATTTTATTTTATTTTTTAAAGACAAAAAATAAAAAAAATCATAAAAAATAAAATATTCATCAAAAAATGGTGCCGCTTACTGCATTAATCCCTAAAAATTGTATATTAATTTTAAAATGCAAAACATAAATAAAAATGTAAATTTTTTACCTATCTCGGCCCCTGTGCGCCCCACTATGTGGGCTGGGGACTTTTTGACAGTGTTTTACTTTTTTGTCATTTTTTGAGGCCATTTTTCCGCAAGCATGCCCAGAAAAATGTAAGGATTGTTGTGTCTACAAAATTTCATAATTTTTTGACATTTTTTAAGGCCATTTGTTGCATTAATTCCTAAAATTTGTATATTACTTTGAAAATGTAAAACATAAAGAAAAATGTAAATTTTTTACCTATCCTAGCCCATGTGCGCCCCACTATGTGAGCCGGGGAATTTTTGACAGCATTTTACTTTTTTGTCATTTTTTGAGGCCATTTTTCGCAAGCATGCCCAGAAAAATGTAAGGATCGTCTCTGCAAAATTTCATAATTTTTTGACGTCGTTTTTATTTTATTTTATTTTTAAAAAATGAAAAATAAAGAAAATCATAAAAAATAAAATATTCATCAAAAAATGGTGCCGCTTGTTGCATTAATTCTTAAAAATCGTATATTAATTTTAGAATGTAAAATATAAATAAAAAAATAAATTTTTAACCCATCTCGGCCCCTGGGTGCCCCACTACGTGGGGCAGAGGTTTTTTGACAGCGTTTTACTATTTTTTTTTATCATTATTGAGGCCATTTTTCGCAAGCATGCCAATAAAAATGTAAGAATCGTGTCTACAAAATTTCATAATTTTGTTGATGTCGTTTTTATTTTATTTTATTTTTCAAAGACGAAAAATAAAGAATAGAATATTCATAAAAAAATAGTGCTATTTATTCCATTAATTTCAAAAAATCGTATATTAATTTTAGAATGCAAACCATAAATAAAAATATAAATTTTTCACCCATCCCGACCCCTAGGCACCCCACTACGCGGGTTGGGGGCTTTTTGACAGCGTTTTACTTTTTTATCATATTTTGAGGCCATTTTTTACAGGCATGCCCAGAAAAATGTAAGGATTGTGTCTTTAAAATTTTATAATTTTTTGATATCGTTTTTATTTTAATTTATTTTTTAAAGACGAAAAATAAAGAAAATCATAAAAAATAGAATATTCATCAAACAATGGTGCCGCTTGTTGCACTAATTCCTAAAATATGTATATTAATTTTAGAATAGTAAACATAAAAAAATATAAATTTTTTACCCATCCCGACAAATGTGCGCCCCACTACGCGGGCCGGGGACTTTTGACAGCGTTTTACTTTTTTTTTTTTTCATTTTTGAGGCCATTTTCCGCAAGCATGCCCAGAAAAATGTAAGGATTGTGTCTGTGAAATTTCATAATTTTTTACGTCGTTTTTATTTTATTTTATTTTTTCAAGATGAAAAATAAAGAAAACTATAAAAAATAGAATATTCATCAAAAAATGGTGTCGCTTGTTGCATTAATTCCTAAAAATTGTATATTAATTTTATAATGCAAAACATAAATAAAAAAAGTAAATTTTTTCCCCATTCCAACCCCTATGCGCCCTACTACGGGGGTCGGAGGCTTTTTGACATCGTTTTACTTTTTTTAAGGTCATTTTTTTAGGCCAATTTTTGCAAGCATGCCCAAAAATATGTAAGGATCGTGTTTGTAAAATTTCATAATTTTTTTGACGTTTATTTTATTTTATTTTATTTTTTAAAGATGAAAAATAAAGAAAATCATAAAAAATAGAATATTCATCAAAAAAATGGTTCATCTTGTTGCATTAATTCCTAAAAATTGTATATTAATTTTAGAATGTAAAGCATAAATAAAAATGTAAATTTTTTACTCATCCCGGTCCCTGTGCGCCCCACTACGCGAGCTGTGGGCTTTTTGACAACGATTTACTTTTTTATCATTTTTTGAGCCCATATTTTGCAAGCATGGCCAGAAAAATGTAAAGATCATGTCTGTAAATTTTCATAATTTTTTGACGTCATTTTTATTTTATTTTATTTTTTAAAGGTGAAAAATAAAAAAAATCATAAAAAATAGAATATTTATCAAAAAATAGTGCTGCTTATTGCATTAATTCCTAAAAATATTATATTCATTTTAGAATGTAAAACATAAATAAAAATGTAAATTTTTTTACCCATCCCAACCCCTAGGCACCCCATTACGCAGGTTGAGGGTTTTTTCACAATGTTTTACCTCTTTTTTTGTGTGTTTTTTAGGCAATTTTTTGCAAGCATGCCCAGAAAAATATAAGGATCATGTCTATAAATTTTCATAATTTTTTGACGTCGTTTTTATTTTATTTTATTTTTCAAATACAAAAAATAAAGAAAATCATAAAAAATTGAATATTCATCAAAAAATGATGCCGATTGTTGCATTAATTCCTAAAAAATGTATATTAATTTTATAATGCAAAACATAAATAAAAATATAAATTTTTCACCTATCCCAACCCCTGGGCTTTGTCATTTTTTTAGGTCATTTTTTATAGGCATGCCCACAAAAATGTAAGGTTTGTGTCTACAAAATTTTTGATGTCGTTTTTATTTTATTTTATTTTTCAAATATAAAAAATAAAGAAAATCATAAAAAATAGAATATCCATCAAAAAATGGTGTCGGTTGTTACATTAATTCTTAAAAATCGTATGTTAATTTTAGAATGCAAAACATAAATAAGAATGTAAATTTTTTACCCATCCCAGCACTTCAGCCCCCCATTACGCGGGCCAAGGACTTTTTGAAAGCGTTTTTACTTTTTTTTTTATCATTTTCAGGCCATTTTTTACAAGTATGCCCAGAAAAAATATAAGGATCGTGTCTGCAAAATTTCATAATTATTTGACATCGTTTTTATTTTATTTTATTTTTCAAAGACGAAAAATAAACAAAATCATAACAAATAGAATATTCATCAAAAAATGGTGCCGCTTGTTGCATTAATTCCTAAAAAACGTATATTAATTTTAGGATCGCAGTGCTACACGATGTTGTGGCAACATATATTCACCAGCTTTCAGGCACGAAAAAGTAACACACAGAAACGATGTAAATTGTATGCATTTTAATCTCTTTGTTTTATAAAAACACGAGAAAAGGAACCAAATCCAAGCACTATACCAGCTACTTCATCGTTCACCTTATCCTACACTATATTGCTAGATTATGGGATACAAAAACGCTTTGACCGTTTTACAGCATGAATTCCTTTTTGTCCAAATAATTCAACTATGAAGGGGAGTGAAAAATCATATATTGAATGCACAAGGAATGAAAAATGACTAAAGTTTAAATTATTTCAAGGGTAGACTGAGTAAAATATACACATGACCTTGAAGTTATGCATACCGGGGTGCTCGAAATGGCCTCTCCCGTCATCCAAAAACAGAGTTGTCCTGATTCCTTCTTACCACCAAGCGTCCCTCCTGTCAAAAGATAACTAAATCAACACAAGTTCGCCCTATGCAGTAGTAAATTTCTAAACGACGCGAATATGAACTGACCTAACCTTTCGTGGAATCCAACCAGACATCAACCAATGTCTGTTGTAATCAACTATCATTTCACAATCATCAATAATTGAATGATGAGCGTCTTATAAATAAAACAAGAAAAACTAATGTCAAGGCATATCACGCCTTTGGAGCAATTACAAACACATGATAACTTTAAAATTCTGCGTGCATCAAAACTTAAGGATAATTTGGCTCAATATCTCGATCTCGTGCTAATAGTGAAGTCTTGTTTTGCACTTTAGTCACAATCCAATGAAAATGAACTCAACTTTAGCTTCTTAAAACTTTTACACTACCATGCAAGGTATTAAATTAGGATAAGCCTTAGTTATACAAACTTTTTTCTTTCAATCTATAGAAGACACTTTTACTGGTTTAAGTACATGCTAAAATATCTTCAAATAACTCCTAAATGCTCCAAAACTTGAAGAGAATCAAAATTCTATGAACATTGTTTTATTTTTCACCCTCACTCAAGTTAGAAAATTCATTGAGGCTCTAACCATGGACCATTAAAAAATTTTAAATCTTTCACTTTAAATTGATTAAAAATTTGGTCTGTCATTCTTCATTGAATCTAAGGCCACCAATGACGTCATATCATGTTAATGCAAGGTTCCTGTGGCTAAAAGATCAAACCAAAAGAAGAACTTGTCTTTTTGTATTGATGCACATATAGTCCACACAGACAAAAGGCACTAACTCCGCCACCTTGCTCAAAAGAGAATGCACAATCCCAAGAAAAGATAAGATAACAACATCCTAGAAAAGGAAAAGGAAAAGAAAAGCAAATGGTCATGTTCACATAAGAAAAGACGTATCCAGCACCATATAGGCATGCCGCATCTCCCTTTCTTTTTCAAACACAAGAAAGGCATAACCACACGAGGTGCCAGTTACTGAAACACGTAAACAAATAAGAATAATAACACGAAACCTTCATTGTTATCTATCAAGTAGTTAAATTATCTTGCAACGCATGGAAGATTATCCTTATTCCTCAATGCTCAAGTGGTTTTAAAAGGAAAGCATTCCATAATAAATCTTATTACTGATTATACTTACAGCTAAGATCCGATCAAAAAGCTCACACCAATTATGCAAAACTCTTTTAACAAATTAAGTATCAATCATAACGATAGCCTGCAAAGGATTAGTATAACACAAAGAATTGACAAAACCATGCGTGAAGGAGTTATGCACTTCAACGCAAAACAATAACCAGAATTGTAACTTATTTAATAAGAAATGTTAGTAATCCATGTTAGTTATAGAATAAAACGTCCAAAACTAAAATGTACCTGAGATTAAAAAAAAAAAAAACGGTACCCATACTCATCAAATTTTCAGTTAAAACTCTAATATACTTTGATGGGTTAATACATAAACCCGTCCTCTGTTTTATTCGTGAATAAGCAAGCTTGAACAACACATAGCAAATCAGATCTAACAAGTGAATAAATAAATATATCAACAACTGCCATCATACCAATCTCAGATCATGTTAGCACCATGCTTATCAATTCCAAAGGTAAGAACTTGAACAAATCAACTTAATTAATAGATCAACATAGATCAAAATTGCCCTTCATACAAATCTCAGATGAACTCAATAGACTAAAACATCAAATCGGACATTTTTTCAACCAAAAAAAAAATAAGATCACAATTTCACAAAAAACGAGATCAGTATATACATAACAAAATGATCTCCTAATTCAGATTAAGCATGATAATTCCAAAGCTAATAAAAACATCGGCGACTCAACAAATCAACTACACAGATCAAATATTACCATCATCCAAATCTCAGACAAATCCATAGAATTAAAATCATATCAAAATTTAATCAACAAAATCAGATCAGAATGCAAATTTAGTAATTATCTCCTAATTCAATATTTAAAATCAGCCTAGTTCTTGTTCAGAGATAATCACGTGCAGAAAACTCATGTCTGAAGAGCATCATCGCATGCAGAAGAAAACCAAACGCAGATGCAACGCGTACAAGTCAGAGCAGAAGAAATACAAAAAATATATGAATAAGTTAGATAATAATCTAATAATTTCACAAAACCCACAAAAAAGTTTCACCAATCATATGATAAATTGGAGACAAATGACACAAAATCTGAGAGGCAAATAATCTGAGACACAAAATGAGACAATCATAGAGATGAATCTCACACAAATCCAACAAAAGAAAAGAAAAAATCAAAACCCAAAAGGCCCTAGAACTGTGACTAACAACAACAATCGTACAAATAACAAACAAAAATACCGAAATCAAATAACATAGCACTTAAATCAGCAAATAAGCATGCAAACCTTCGTCGAGTTGGGGAAGAGGCAGAGTCTAGAAGCAAACCCAAAGCAATAATCACCAGACAAAAAATTTGTGCAACGCTCAACCCTCAGACGGTGCTTCAGTTCGACAAACCCAAAAAAAAAAAAAAATAAATAAATAAACAACAACAACAACAGAAACCAGCAAGGGATTAAAAAGCGAGATATGGAAATGGAAATGGAAATGAAAACGGAAAAACGGTGTTTTACCGTTTTCAAAAACCAAAGCCTAAAATTTTACCATTTTGTTATCCTCATTCCTGCCCAAAGTCTGCAGAAGGAGATAAAACCCAATTCAAAAAATCTTACGACACAAAAGGGAGAGAGAAGAAAATAACAGATTAGGAAGGTGGAATTAAAATTAATAGCATATTCTTTAAGGAAGAAAATGAATAGCAGATTTCGGATTTAAAAATTTGAAAATTCCTAAAAATACCCTCAGCAGTAAAACTCCCCCAAATGAACCCTAAATCCCAAAACACATGCCTGGAGTAAATACAGCTGGCGCCGGATTCCACGATGAAGCCGGAAATCACGCGAGAAAATCAGCCGGAATCGCACGATCTTCCTCCACTGTGAGCTTCGGCGGCGAGCTCTGGTCTGGTTGCTATGCCTAGTTTCTTCATGAAATCCGGAAGGCACGAAACGAAACGACGCGGGCAGGAGAAAAGAGTTTGTCGGTGGAGAGAGATGTGTCTACGTACGATAAGAGGATAGAGAGAGAGAAGAGAGGGCTGTGCAGCAGAGACACAAGGGAGAGATAGAGAGGAGAGCGGAGATGGAAAGAGAGGGCTTGTGAAGAGACCGGGCTGTTTGTTACCGTTTTTATTTTCAATTTTTCACGTTTTTTTGAAGAAAAAATTGAAAACAGAAATGAAAAACGCGTTTGGCGAAGTTTGTGTTAGAAAATAAAAACAAAAATATTTTTGTCTTTTTGTGAAAAATTGAAAATCAAAAAAATACGTTTTTATTTTCACATTTTCGTTTTCTGAAAACGGATTTCAGTTTTTTTTTCTTCTCTCTCTTCTCCAGCCGAAGAAGACGCGGGAGAACGCCCACCGTCGCTCATCCAGCCCGACTAGGCCCTATCTCCGACAGTGCCCCTTCCCCCCACGCGTCTCCTACTGCGCCCCCCTCCCCCCACTCGTCTCCGTTGATTGATGAGGTAGTAAGGAAATGGGTTGATTGTTTATTTAATATATTATTAATTTTAATATTATATACATGTTTTTAAAAATTAGACTACCAAACGTAATTTTAGTTTTTTTTAAATTGAAAACAATCTCAGAATAAAACTACCAAACGCATTTTAAGAAATGATTCCAAAATGAAAATAAAAACGTTTTTGTTTTCATTTTCATACAAAAAACAAAAATATTTTGGAACCAATTCCAAACGCACCTGAGGTTTTCAAAATTTGAAGCAAACGTTTAGAAGTTTTTTATTTTTTTTATTTATTTTTTTTAGCAACAAACGTAAGGTGTGTTTGATTAGGAGGAATGGAAAGGAATAGAAAGGAATCAGGCTTCATTCTCATGTTTAGTTGATTTTAAGAAATAGAATGGTCATTCAAAATAGAATGACTTTTCCATCAAATGAGTGAATCATCATTCCTTTCTCAGATGAGACAAATGTCCATTCCAAGTTCTTTTAATTTTCTTTTCCATCATTACTCTTAAATATTATAATTATTATATTAA